GACCGCAAATTGACCAATCATAGCGCGTGAAATTACCTTGCCATATAATAAATTCGGTGACAAACTAAACTAAACTAAACCTATGCTGATGGGGGGTCGCCCCGCCCCCACCTGAATGTTAGGGGCTGGCGGGTATATTCAGTTACTAAAACGCCCTCGAAACCCTTAAAGTTCAGCAATCAAGCCCAGAAGTTCGTGGGAAGTTAAAGAGTGAAGATGAAAGAAAGCAAGACCAAGGTGAGAACATGTACATAGAAGAACGTAAAAGGTTTTACTAAATTCTAAAAGAAGAATTGATGGTTGTTGAGGGGTTGTCGTTGAAGTCTGTTGACAATCGGGAGAATATACTCCTGACCTAGTGTCTCTTGAAACTTTGAGTTAGTGGTTTTAGTTTCGTAAGAAGTGTTGCAGAAAAAGACGTTCTGTTTCGATGCTGTGCAAAGGGGGGAGCGAAGCAAGTAGGAATATACATGGACAAAGTAAATAACTTTTCGTATCAATCTTGATTTTAAAGATGAAGCGAGAGCACCGTTCACAATATCGAATAAGCAGAAAAATATTGTCCTGCCTAAAAGATATGAAGCATTACGGAGAATTGAGTGAAGAAAAAAAAAAGAAGATCAAAGATGATTACACAACAGAACTAATTTCATGTATTGAAGACCTCGAACGCTGTCAAGAATTAAAGGAAGAAACGAAAATGTAGATTAAGAGGCCTTTTTACTCGCCTAAAATTCCTTTACGTGTTTGTTAACCAACGTAATTTAGAACATAAAGGATTATGAGTTTGACATATCTGCCAAGATAAGTGCCGCGATTGGTTGGTGTGTTTACTTGGCAACGTTAAACCACTGGTCTCTGGGGGTTTAAAATTGTCCCGATTTCCGGAGTTTTTTTGGTCAATTTTACTAATGAAAACATGCTGTGTTTTAAACTAGCTTCTTAAAGTGTATATGACACGAAAAAATTTTAATGTTAAGAATGTGTAGTTTATTGGCATTAATAAGAATATCATGGTTAAATTTGTTTCAAAAACGTATTTCTCTAGAAATTGAAAATATTTTAGCACGAGTTGTGACGTCATTTTGTTTACAAGTCTCCTGATTTAGTTGCAAATACATGAAATATGTTTGAATATAGAATCTTAATTTCA